AATAATAATAAACTTTATTATACATTGAAATAATAAATGTTTTATACATTTAAAATGAAATTTTATCAAAAAATAATCATATTTTTATTAAACTTAATTTTATTTGGTTGATTTTAATCCTTTTTTTAGTTTTTCTTTTTCTAATTCAAGATTTTTTGTTTCTTCTTTTGTTAATCATGCAACTTTCAACTTCTTTAATTTGATTGATTGATTCTAGTTTTTCTTTGGCTTGTGCCAGTTCAAAATTTTTCTTCTTTTCTTCGCCTTCTCTTCCTTTTAATGCATTATTTCGATTTGATGATAAGCTATTGTAATCTAATATCATTTTGTTAGTTATGTTGATATTCTTGACACCTCCGGCACTTTCCATAGCATTATAATACACCTTTGAGCTATTAAACTGTTTTTCGTCAGATTCTCGACCTAAAACTCACTATTAACAAAAAAAAATTCGTTTAACACTTGAACTCCCGTGAAACAAAATATAAATATTTTTACAAAAATTTTGAAGTTCATCTGATGATTTTTCTAGAAAAAATATTTTAAGTAAAAACATGTCTAATCGATGACATTTTCTATAAAAATTTTCCAACTTCATTTGAACATTGTCTTTAGCAACTAACGTATTCTCTTTTTACGAAATCAGCATCAAGAGCATTCGTACAATTTTCATCAACTAATATTTATAAAGTAGCCCTTAATCTTATTTCAAAAGTTTTTTGAAGTGAAACTTCTATGGCCGCATATTGGAAGTCTAGAGGCGAGTAAAACCGGCTGATGCAACGCAAAAGTGTCCATCCGGTTCTTGGTGGCGAGGGGGAGCGGAGAGCGGGGAGCGGGGCATGGGAGAAAGTAGCGTGCACGCGCATCAGAAGAAGCAGTCGGGAACTATACCTATATATATCGTATACCGTTGAGTAGATGTGCGGGGGGAGAGGATACGCTACGATGACGTACGACAACAGTCGACAGTTGACAGAGAGAGAGAGAGAGAGAGAGAGAGAGAGAGAGAGAGAGAGAGAGAGAGAGAGAGAGA